AACCCAGCAGGATATCACAGTGAGGACACAGAGCAAGGCTGAAATTCATTATCTGTCATACTGAGCATTCACAATCTAACTATACTTAATACAACTAAAACCAAAACCAACAAAAAAAGTATATTGAGGGTTGCCAAAATCAGTGACTAAATTAGAAAAAGGCAGACTACAATAGGCTGTGCATCTTTAATACTGCACTGCTATGTACTTGCCTTATTATAATACAGTGTCATGGTAGGGTCCTTTATTGCAGACACATTAGTAAAATGAAGGCTCCCAAGTTAATCATCATAGTGTACATACCTCAGTAGATATCAGAGTATGCTGTTAAAGAATTTGTTGCAGGGCTTACAGCTGTCACCATAATATGACTAACTGTATTAACTGGCCACTATACCATACTTCTACAACAGCAAAACCTCGTGGATTTGTGCTGACTGCTGCCTTCTACTTACTTGTTGGACTTGTTGAAGATGATGTTGTGTTCATTCCTGGAAAAGGGAAAACAATTTTTCAGCCCTGTTAGTACCTTGGTTATGCTGAGGCCATCAAAGGCAGCATGATATGATGCCTCAAACCCTTTGCCATTCCTGCTTCTACCTTGCCCTGTCCTCTAGCCAGTGCCTTGCCCTTGTTTCCTGCATCCTGTTGCTCAGTGTGGTTTACCCTGCATGCCTGCCTGTGATATCTCTTCTCTGGCAACCTCTCTCTCCACTTAATTTGCTCTCTCCCTGCAAATTTTCTCTGTCCAAAAGCTCTGCAGGCTCCTCACATCTCCTCCTCTCCCCCAATGCCGAGCTTGTCATTGCTACCCCAAGGCCAGGGCAAGGTTCTTGTTTCTGCCCTCATAGCATCTTCAGTGTATCTGGAGCATCTTGTGGCTTATGCCTCTATCCCAACCCAGGTCCTCTTCAACTCCAACATGTTTAAACACCTGGAAGACTAATAGCGCTACAGGAAAACTTCCAGCTAATCCTTCCTTGAAAATCATCCTGTGAGCGGCTAGCCTGGAAACATGCAGCACCATAAGAAGGAGAAGACTCTTAGAAAGATGTGATAGCAAATCCACCAGAACAAAGAAATTTAGGGAGCAATAGGACATCAGAATAATCTCAACTATCTCCTAAATTTAATTTTTATAGGGTACACTCTTTGCCTAAAATGGTCACAGTTATACTTTCTCTGAGTAATTATATATTCTGTAAGGATTTTAAAGTATGTATTTAAAATCCATACATAATTTATTAATTTCTAAGTAATTAAAAGTT